ACCGGGAACGCGGGCGCCTGCTCCGCAGCGGGCCCCGTGCCGCTCGGGGGCCGGGATTAACCATAGCCAACACTGACCTACAAGCTTCCTCTGCTGGGGCTCCCAGGGCCCGGGGGTGGGGGGAGCCCTGTGGTGGGTGCCGCGGAAGACAGACAGGGAGTGGGGCTGTGGGGAGCAGAGAAGGCACTGGACTAGACTCGGGGGGCTGCCTGGATGGTGGATGGAGGGATGCTCCCGGTGAAGGCGCAGCCCAGCGGCTCAGGAGGAGGGAGGTGGCATGGACTATCCTGGGAACCTCTCCATTGTCCACACGAGGGGCTGGAGCTCGGGGTGAAGCGTGTGCCTAGAGGTGAGGCTGGAGACCCCGTGAAGCAAGGCCAGACCGTCCGGACCTCGCTTCCCCTCCAGAGGCGGGACTGCACTGAGGGCAGCGGGGCCAGGGCAGGGCCTGGCCGCTGAGGACAGGGTCAGATGGGCACACCAGGGAGCAGGGGATGGGGAAGGCTTGTTACCAGGGCTCAGTGAAGAAGGGGGGGCTCCACGACTGGGCTGCCGGGAAGGGGTGCTTAGGACGGGCAGTGGGGCTCTGCAGGGCTGTGGAGGGAAAGAAGGGCGCAAAATTACTTCTTGCGTGAATTTGGGGACACCCTTTATATATTAGTGTCACAGCCAAAGGGCACTAAGGCTAGGATTCTCCATACGTAAAAGGAAGCTTCTAGCAAATATTCCCAACCTTTGTCTCAGAGGCAAACTATCATTTTACTCTGGAACATAGTTAAACATTTCCAGGGGGGAGGAGAAAGGTTTCACTATGTTTATCACGTGGCTATGTAGGCAAATCTACCAGAGAGGAGGGAACGAACTCTACTCTTCTGAAATATCTTTGGACTCTACATCTTAGAGAGATATTATGCGAATATCCCCGCCATGCTCTTTTCTCATGTGTGTGGCTGGCTGGGTGGTGTGTGTGTGTGTGTGTGTGTGTTAGGAGGACGCAGAGGGTGCCCGCGGTGTGGACAGTTCTGTGGGGTCAGGTCCTGTCCGCACTGCTTCCCCCAGGTGTGGCCCTCCAGCCCCAGCTGGCCAGTGTCACCTTTGCCACCAACAACCCCACCCTGAGCACCGTGGCCCTGGAGAAACCGCTCTGCATGTTCGACAGCACAGAGGCCCTCAACGGCACCTATGAAATCTACCTCTACGTCCTGCTCGACTCGGGTGAGGGCCCTGCTCGCCTCCGGCCACGGCCACAGCCACGCTGAACGGGTCTGACCTGTCCACGGGGCGTGGGGGGGACAGGTGGAGGGGTGCTCCCTCCCTGTGAGGAAACCACCCCCGCACCTCACCAGCCTGCACTGTGTCTGCCTGAGCCAGCGCAGGGCTGGGCCCTGAGGGACACCCTGTGTGGGGGGAGTTATGACAGCACCGGCCTCCGAGCACCCACCGCCTCATGCAGGTGCCCGGCGCCCCGGAGAGCTGGTATTTACGGCTGCCCTTGAGCAGCAGGGTTTGGGCTGCACGGGTCCACTTCGACGCAGATTTTTTTCAGCAAATACTGTAACTGCATTTTTTCTTACGACAGGTCCTTTCTCTTACTGTATTATAAGAATACAGTCTGGAACCCATATACATACACAGGAAATGTTAACTACTGTTGATGTTATTGATAAGGCTTCCCTCCACAGAAGGCTATTGGTTAAGTTCCGGGAGTCGAAAGTGATATGCAGATTCCCCCTGTGCCCCCGCCCCCACCCCATCGTTCAGGCATCACATGTAGTAGGTTGCCCATCACAGAGCAAAGAATGAAGGCTCCGAGGGGCCGAGGGACTCACTGGGGCCGCCGGGGCGGACAGCGAACCCAGGCCCTGGTCCTCAGGCCCCGCTCTCCCCAGGCGGCTCCAGGTCGGCGTTTCCCAGCGAACCTGCTGGCTCCGGTCCAGCCTTCCCTGGTCACCAAGGAACCCAGTGACCACCTCGTACATTTCTAGCAACCAGCCGCTTACAGCACCTCACCCAGGTCATCAACTTCACTTTTTTAAAAAATATTTTATTGATTTTTCACAGAGAAGAAGCGAGAGGGACAGAGAGCTAGAAATATTGATGAGAAAGATCGATCAGCTGCCTCCTGCACGCCCCCTACTGGGGATGTGCCCGCAACCCAGGTACATGCCCTTGACCGGAATCGAACCTGGGACCCTTCAGTCCGCAGGCCAACGCTCTATCCACTGAGCCAGACCGGTTCGGCATCAACTTCACTTTTCCTGCGAACACTGATTGGCCGCCTGCCTGGGCCCGCGCTGTGGGCTGGTGGGCATTTCCCTCCCAGTTCCCAGGCCTCATCACCCGCTGGTCAGGAGGAGACCGAGGGCCGGTCAGGTCTGGCTGCTCCCCCTGAACCTGTGGCCCTCCTTTTCCCTTTCACACAGGCAGAATCCAGGGCTCTCCGCAAGGAAGCGACAGTGGCTGTTGGGTGGGAGGCTTACAGGGCTGTGCCAGGAGCGGGTGCATGAGAGCTGCACACAGGCCGGCACCTCCATTGCACAGGGAGCCCTGAGGGTGGGGACTGAGCCTGTGTGTGCCTGCGACCCAGGGCCCAGCACAGCGCTGGCTCAGAGGGTGCTTGGGGGGCGTTTGATGAATGAGTGACTGAGCTGGGGTGGCTGGTACCTCACTCCCGGCACCACCCCACAGCCAGCTCCAGGAACGCCTCCGTGCAGGACGGTGCCCACACCCCGCTCAGCTCCACGTTCCAGCAGACGGCAGGAGGGAGGACCGGCCCCTACAAGGCCGCGGTCTTTGAGCTGACCCCCTGCAGCGACCTGCCCAGCCTGGACGCCGTGGGGGACGTGGCCCGGGCCTCGGAGATCCTGAATGCATACCTGATCAGAGTGGGCGACAATGGGGCCTGCCTGTCGGACCCTAACTTCCAGGGCCTCTGCAACCCGCCCCTATTGGCGGCCACGGAGTACAGGTGGGTGTGGGCGCCTGCGCGAGCCAGCCGTTGTGCCCCAGCCCCGCCTGACTCGGGAAGACCCTGAGCTGGTGAAGTGTGAGAGGCCACATGTCTGAAGAGCCTACTATGTGCCAAGACCATCTCGGGTCCCAGAAGGGCCCCCACTTGGCTTGAAATTCTTAATTTTGTAACAAGTGTCCTGAGTTATGCACCTGGTCCCGGCCCATTACCCAGTGGCAGTCGCCCACACAACCCCCTGCACTTGACGGGGAAGGACATTGTGGTCCAGAGCGGGAGGGAGCCACCTGGTGGAAAGCTGGGGCCCAGCATGACCTGGAGGCCTGGCTGAAGCTTCGCCAGCTCCCAGCCCACCCTCTGCTTTTCCTGCCGCCCTCTGGAGCACCTGGTGGGCCACCCCACCACAGTGGGTCCCTCAGCTATGCCCACAGGTAGGGGCTCAGCCCTGACCCATGGCCAGGGGGCTTATCTGGAGCCAAAGCCTCTCTTATTACCATGGAGATGCCTAGGTTGGGGTCTCCGTACCTTCCAGGCTTCACGTGGGGGCCAGGCCATCACTCACCTGCCATCCTCGCCTCTCCCTTCCTTTGGCCCCCTCAGGCCTCCCTCCCTGCTGACCTAGACCTCTCCCTCCTCCTGGATCGCAAAGCTCGCCACCTGGGGACACGTCTGTGTCCCAGCCTCTTCCAACCTGGAGAAGTGGGGGTTAGAAATTTAAGTCTTATTTTTGCTTCTTTACATGTTGAGCTAGAGGCTGTCAATTTCTTAGTTCTCAGAACATCCATCATTTTAAACTGACCTTCAGTCGGCTATGGGCATTTTGTACTGTAGCTCCTGATCTGCCTTTAGGATTCTAATGCTGGGTGGGGTTTTCTTCATGTAAAATGTAGGCCTTATCCCAGAGCCGTGGGCGTGGGAATGGATATTATTATTCAAGCCCCGTTTGTGGGACCAACGGCCAGGCTGGGAGCAGTGGAACGCAAAAGTGCAAGGAGGACGAAGGGTCAGCACTCATCAGATACACTACATGCGCTATGTATGCCAAGAGGAGCAGAGGGGCTCCCGGAGGGAGAGTCTGGAGGGGACCCCCGATGCCGAGGGCTGCCTGGAGGAGGTGGCACCTGAGCTCAGGAAAGGGTCCCGGCAGTGATATGCAGCGAAGGTGCTGATGCAAAGCCCAGCTCCGCCCTGTTGCCCAGAGCCCACCGGTGGCCGCCGGGATTGCCATCTAGAAGTCCCCGCTCTGCCCCCCACTCCAGCCACCCTAATCCCTCCCACCTCCAGGTGGCCGGGCTCACAGGATGGATGGAAGTCATCCGAGCTCCGTCTCCTTTCAGGTTCAAGTACGTCCTCGTCAATATGTCCTCGGGCTTGGTGCAGGACCAGACCCTGTGGTCGGACCCCATCCGAACCAGCCGGAGTGAGTGGTGGGAGTGGGCGGGGGCGGGCGGGAGTGGATGGTGGTGTGTGGGGGAGGTTCCTCAAGGGAGCCTGGGAAAGCAGACTTGGGCTGTCACTCTGAAAACGCTCCCAGACACAGGCAGGCCGTTGGGTGATGAGGAAAATGCATTTTAAAACAACTGAGTCTTCCCCTGGACACTGTTCGACACTGGCCAGCGCAGGGGGAGCCCTGGGCATCTGCTCCATCGCCCAGGGCCCTCTGCTTCGCCTTTAATAGCTTGTAATCTGCATCCCACCCACCTCACCCGAAGGCTGCAGGCCTGTGTAACTGAAAGTTATGCACAGAGACAGTTAAAAGAGGGAGAGCCCGGCCAGTGTGGCTCAGCGGTTGAGCATCAACCTGTGAACCAGGAGGTCCTGGTTCGATTCCCGTTCAGGGCACATGCCCGGGTTGCGGGCTCCAGCCCCAGTAGAGGCTGTGCAGGAGGCAGCCGATCCATGATTCTCTCTCATCACTGATGTTTCTATCTCTCCCTCTCCTTTCCTCTCTGAAGTCAATAAAAAAATATTTTTACAAAAAGGAAGAAGAGACCAGACACACTCAAGAGAAAGTTGGGAATTGGGATGTGGGGACAAGCACCTCAAGGCAGGGGGAGACAGTCCCGGAACTGGGTCCCCCTCGTCCCTGGGACCTGCTGCCACCAGGGCTGGGAAGACGCTGTGCATCCTGGGAGGGCTGGCTGAGGGTGCAGCGTCTGGGGAGTCATGGGCCTGTGTCCTGCTAGTCACCCCGTACTCGGCGATTGACACGTGGCCGGGCCGGCGGAGCGGCGGCATGATCGTCATCACGTCCATCCTGGGCTCCCTGCCCTTCTTCCTGCTGCTGGGCTTTGCCGGTGCCATCGTCCTGAGCCTCGTGTGAGTACCCACGGCTGGAGGCAGGACTCGGGACATGCGGACACGCTCCCCTGGGAGGGTCCTCTGAGGCAGGGGCAGCCCAGCAGGCAAGGGAGCCGCCTTCCACCCTGGGCGGGTGGGGCCTGGGGGTGGGGGGCTGAGTCCTGGGGCTCCCAGGGTCAGGGTCAGCCTGGTGGGAGGGGTTTGCGGGCAGATGCCAGGTCTGACACCTACTAATGCACAAGCTTGGGCACATATCCTACCTCTGGTGCCTGAGGATCCCCTTCCGCAGAATGCAGATACTAATAGATATGTTTCTATCTCTCCCTTGAAGGTCACGTGAGAGGTTGTGAAGGTCACGTGAGATAATCCCTAGTCTTCAAGGAATCGCCCAGGAGCTGAACAAGTAGTGCATTTTGTTGTCATTGTAATCCATCCAACTGCAGTCCAGGTGGGGAAACTGAGGCCTGAGGGAGAAGGGTGGCCCAAGGTCCCACAGCCAGTCAACACAGGCGGGACCAGAGCCCAGTCCCCTGACTTCACTCCCAGCCCTGATGTGTGTCTGTTTGGGTCAGACTCATTCTCCAGGGGACCTGCAGCAGCCATCAGGGCCACCTGGTGGCAGACAGGTGTGCGCACAGCCCATTGTTCCGGGGAGGATTGAGCAGGGGGGGTGAATCAGGGCAGGAGCAGGTGCTGCGGGAACCGGAGGCGGGCAGGGCAGATCCTGCCTGTGTTGTAGGCAGGAAGGGCACCTGGTGTCTGACTATGGGTCAGACCAGTCCTGGGTTCGGCAACTTCTGTACTCGGGCTCTGGCTAGGAACGAATTCAGAGCCAAGACCCAAACTGTAGGAGAACATCCCTCTATATAAAAGCCTAATATGCAAAGTGTCCCCTCGGGAGGTGGACCTTCGACTGGGAGTCCCGGAGTCCGGGAGTTTGCTTGCTCGCTATGATGTGTGCTGACCACCAGGGGGTGATGTGGAACAATGAAAGGCCCCGGCCAGCAGCTACTGGGCCAGCAGGGGAGGACAGTTAGGGGCAATCAGGCTGGCAGGGGAATGGTTAGGGGGTGATCAGGCTGGCAGGCAGGCAAGCAATTGGAAGCCAGCAGTCCCGGATAGTGAGAGGGATGTCCGACTGCCCATTTAGGCCGATCCCACCGGGGGTCCAGGTCCCCACTGATTGACTGGCCGGCACCCAGGCAGGGTCATTAGTCAGTGCAGCTGGTCCTGAGGCAGCCAAGGTGTCACCTGTCTGGTTTTGCTGCTTTTGCAGCTGAGGCCCAGATGTTATCTCTAGGGAGGAAAGGTCAGGTGGTCTAAACCATGTGACCTGTGCTATGATTCGGGAGAAAAAGTCACCCTGGGGGTGAGGTCCCACCTTACAGTTGTCACTGGGGCTTTCCAACGTGGTGACCTCTATACCTGGCCCATCGTCCTTGCTCTGCTCCCGTCTGTCTGGCTGCCCAGCACACCTGGCGCACCAGGCGGGGCTCCTGTAGGGAGGGACAGCAGGAGCCCTCTCTCCTCAGGACAGGTGGATGGAGGTCACACGCAGGTGCTGCTCAGAGCGAGGGAGCCCTGGGGCTGTGGAGGTCCAGAGGGTGCCTGTCCAGGGGGAGTGGGCAGCAGATGGGACAGCTCGCTGGAGTAGGTGAAATAGTGGGCAGGTGGAAACCAGCCAGGCAGGAAAAGATGTGGGAGGGTCCGGGGTGGGGATGGGGCTGTGAACTTGAAAATCAAGTTGCCTTCTGACATTTAAATGAATAAAAACACAGCGCTAGCCGGTTTGGCTCAGTGCATAGGGCGTCGGCCTGCAGACTGAAGGGTCCTGGGTTTGATTCCCAGTCAGGGTTGCAGGCTTGATCCCCAGTAAGGGGCGTGCAGGAGGCAGCTGACCAATGATTCTCTCTCATCGTTGATGTTTCTCTCTCTCCCTCTCTAAAATCAATAAAAATATATTTTTAAAATTAATTAATAAAAACACAAATAATAGATGAGATTAGCCTGGGAGCAGTCAGGATGTGGTGATGCCCCTCCCTCCCTTGGGGCGACGCCCTAATCTGGCCCCAAGGCCCTGTTACGACTTTAGCCTGATTCTTTCCTTTGTCCCTGCTATCATCTCTGGCTCCAGCTGCACAGAGCTTGTCACCTTTGCCCCAGACCCCCAGCCATTCCTATCATTGCCCAAAATGCCTTCCTGTACCCTCACTCTTCTCCTTTAGGGCCCGGTGAACTGCCGCCTCCTCCAGGAAGCCCCCCTGTGGCTCCCACCCGGAATTGTCCATTTTGTCTGGTCATTGCTGTGGTCTGTCTCCCTCTACAATCCTAGCTCTTTAGGGACAGGGGCAATGGCCTCCAGTGTCCAGCTCAAGATAAAACCTGTAGGCTGTTCACTTAGTTCCAAAAGGGTGACCCTTTCCTTATCCCAGGACGTGGCCCACAGTGAGTGCTCAGGAGAGACTGGTCGACTGAACGAACACATGAGACGTAAGACGGCATCTGTGAAAGCAGTGTCTCAGCAGGCAGGCCCCTGAGCAGCTCACGGGGTTCGGGCTTGCTCTGCACCCCTAACCCTGGCTCTCTCCATCCTCTCCGTCAGGGACATGGGCGGTTCTGACGGGGAAATCACACACGACTCCCAGATCACACAGGAGGCCGCCCCCAAGTCCCTGGGCACCTTGGAGCCTTCGTACGCCGCTGTGAACCGGGGGCTGCAGCTGGACAGGGCCGAGGTGTATGGCGGCAAGCTCCCGGACTGAGCCCCAGCGGGTGCGCACAGCGGCCTCAGGGCTCCACGCAGCCAGGGTCACCCCTGGCCCCACCCACGGCGGAGCAGGGCCAGGGGTCCAACTGCAGGAGCAATTTTGATAAATTCTTCCCAAGAATTTGAGTTCAATAAATATTTACAGAAAGAGTGAGCCGATCAATGAATGAATGCACGTGTATTGAGCACGTGGATTGTGTCTCTCAAGGGCGTGGTGGGGGGACTGATTTTCACTCAAAGCCAGGGCGGAGTCAGGGCTGTGGGAACGTGGCCGTCCACCCTCGCCTGTGAGAGGAAAGCCAGCCCCTCTGTGACCGCCGTTAGGGCCCGTGAGCTGGGCTGTGTGCACAGCGATTGGGTGTTGTTTGGGTTTGCGGATGCGAGGTACTGGAACCCTGGAACCGAAATGAGTCCTGGGTGCAGCCCTGCTGGTAACTCACCCTGTTACCTCCGCACTCATCTCTTTCTCTCTGGACTCAGTTTCCTCATCTGTGAAATGGGCTGATGTAAACGATTAACTTCAAGGCCTTGCAAGCCTGGGCTCCTTCACAGCTTTCCGATCCCAGTGGGAGGACAGCAGAGGCTGCAGGACACAGAGGAGGGTGTCAAGGTCACTCAGGAGTGAAGAGTCTCTCCAGTCCCGGGTCTCTGCTCAGATGATTCAATTCTGTCTTCTGAGCCAGGTAGCAGGCCCGCTTCCCGTCGTGGAAAGAGAAGAGGTTTGTCAGAGCGGGGTGGTTAGAGCAGGAGCACAGCCCAGCAGGCTGACGGGTGCTCTGGGGGGCATGCGGGGTGCTGCGGGGGCACACACGCACAAGAGGGACCCCCAAGCTGCAAAGGCAGGCAGCAGAGGCCGGGAGAAGGAGCCTGGGGGCTGGGAGGGGCCTGGAGAAGCCAGAGCAGTTGTGGGTCAGTCCGGGTGGTGGGAGCCACAGGAGCCACGGGAGTGAGTCCCTGGGCCCGGGAGCAGGCGGAAGGAATGGTGGGTGCTGTGCCCAGACCACCTACTGGCTCCTCCAGTCCATCCTGTAGGCCCAGGAGGCTGGCCTGGGCACTGACACTCCCTTCCCATCCCAGGCCCCTCCCCAGAGCCCCCCCAGCTCTCCCAGAGACCCCGCAGCAGAGGGAGGCGGCACTTCTCCAGGTCGGCCCTGGTTAAACACGCATGCGAGCTTGCCTTCTGCTTACAGCATGCCCGTGTTCGTTTTATGTTTTAAATGGAGGCGAGAGTCGCAGGACATACAATTACCCATTTAAAGTGACAATTCGGTGGCATTTAGCACATTCTCAATGCTGTGTAGCCGCCATCGCTGTCTAGTTCCAGAACCGATTCCTCACTCCTAGCGGTTCCTCCCCTTTTCCTCCCCCACCAATGGGACCCTGTATGTCAGCTCGCATTATTATTATTATTTTTTAGCCTCATCTGAGGATGTTTTTCTATTGGTTTTTAGAGAGAGTGGAGGGGGGGCAGAGAGAGAAACATTGATGTGAGAGAGACACTTGGGTTCTTTGCCTCCCATTCACCCTGGGGCTGAGGGCTGAAACCCACTTACATGCCCTTCGGTCGGGCCAGTGCTCTAACCATAGAGCACACGGGCCAGGCTCACCCCTCATTATTGTTCCTTGCATTTCTTATGGTTCCAGGGGCCTCATATACAGCATATAAATACATATTGTGACATATTTATGCATTCCAGTTCTCTATTATATGTTTTGAAATTTTATTTGCTATTTTTTCACATCACTTCATATTATTATTATTATTATTTAACAATTTCTTATTTTTTAAAAACAATTTCTTAGTGAAATGCCCTTTTGTTCTTTCATTTTTCTCTTTCATGGATCCATGTTCTTTGGAAGCTTGTTTAGACCCAGTGAATGGCCTTTCAGGCTTCCTCCACATGCATAGAAGTCACTTTTTTGAATAATAAGAGTTCTAGGTCTCAGGGAGGGAGGGCATCAGGATGTTAGAGATGCTTGGGCGGGGCGTGGCCAAAATGAGGCTGGAACCACAGGTCTAGACCAGTGGTCGGCAAACTGTGGCTCTCAAGCCACATGCGGCTCTTTGGCCTCTTGAGTGTGGCCAGGAAGTTTCAATCATACCATACGTGTGCGCCCGCACGTGGTATTTTGTGGAAGAGCCACACTCGAGGGGCCGTGGTTTGCCGACCACTGACTGGTCTAGACTGACTGAAGGGCAGGTTAAGGGTCGGATCCTTTTCTGTGATACCTCCCCTGTTCCCGGCTCAGCACGTGCCATCAGAGGGCAGCACACCAGCCGGGCCTTCCCTCGCTCGCTGGCTCGCAGGGGCAGGGCTGTGTTGGAAGCCCTGGGCCTGGCGAGATCCCGCAGGGGTGTGACACAGACAAGGCAGAGCTCAGAGCCCTCAGCCTCGGGGCCTGGCAGTGGGGACCCGAAGGCAGGAAGAACTCACCGGGAAGCCCACCCTCACCTCCAGCTCCCTGGGTGACCCCCTGACCCTGGCATCTGTTGGCTTCCTCAGTCCCAGAACCTCGCTGCCACCGAGACTCAGTGTCCCCTAACCCCCCCCCGTTTTTTTTGCCGACTTCCAAGCAGCTGTATCCAGTCTTCGCAGAAGGAGCCAAGCTGGCGGGCGTCGGGTGGAGGTGCTGGGCTGGCTGCTGAAGCGTCTAATCATAACCGCCCCCAGGAGCCATTTCTGCAGCTCCTGCCCAGGTGCCGAGAGGCGCCTCCTCGCCGTGGCTGAGAGGGCGGCCCTCCGGAGTTGGGCTCCCCCCGCCACCCAGATGCTGCTTCCCTTCCTCCCACCAGGCAGCCGCCCCGGCTCATCTCCGTCGCCAGGCTGTGAGACTTGGGGCAAGGTCACCACTCTGGGCTCCCCTGGCTTCATGGGGCCGCTTCCCGTTTGGGGTTATTCCAAATAGAGCCGCTGTGAACAGCCCATCCCCCTGTGGGCACTGCTTTCACTTCTCTTTTTAAAAAAATGTTTTTATTGATTTTTTAGAGAGGAAGGAAGAGGGATAGAGATAGCAACACTGAGCCAAACGGGCCAGGGCCTGACTCATTTTTAAAAAAAAACTGCCAAATTGTTTCCCAACGTGATTGTATCATTAAAAACAACAACTTGGCTTTGAAGTGATCATCGATTCCAAGGAAATTGCAGAAAATGTGCAGGGGGGTTGGTGTAGCCTTTAGCCGGCCTCCTTACCGTTAACAGCTCCTATAGCCACAGCTTCACTGCAGCACAGCCAGGAGCCGGCGCCCGTCCGCCCACAGCGCTCCCTAGTTCCGTTCCCAAACACGCGTGTGTTTCTATGCAGTCTTCTCGCCGCTGTAGGTTGTGTCATCACCACCGTCAAGGGCAGGACTGGCCGTTCACCACAGGCTCGTGGCCGATGGAGCCCACAACCCGGGCCTGTGCCCTGACGAGGAATGGAACCAGTGGCCTTGGTTCATAGGTCAACGCCCAACCACTGAGCCACACCAGCCAAGCTGCTTTCACTTCTCCTGGGTAAATACCCAGGTGTGGGATGACTTGGTTGTATGGTATGTGTATGATTCATTTTAATTTTATTTCGACAGAGAGAAACATCCAGGTGAGAGTGAAACACTGATCGGCTGCCTCCTACCTCCCCGCCCCCTACCCCCCACCCTCCCACCAGGGATTAGCCCACAACCGAATTGAACTGGTGACCGGCCTCTTGGTCATGGGATGATGCCCAGACGAGCCAGGGCGGCTGGCTCTTCTTTTTTTTATTTTAAATATCCATTGATTTTTTGAGAGAGTGGAAGAGAGAGGGAAAGACAGAGAGAAACATCAATGTGAGAGAAACACATCGATTGGTTGCATCCTGCATGAGCCCCGACCAGGGCCCGGGGGGGAGGAGCCCAATAACGAAGGTACACGTCTTTAAGTGGAATTGAACCTGGGACCTTTTGGTCCGCAGGCAACACTCTATCCACTGAGCCAAACCAGGTAAGGCAACTAAGGGTTCTGCTTTATATTTTCCATCCCAATATTAGAATTTGGTTAAAATTTCTACTTAAAACCATATT